ACATAACAAAGTATCTATTTTTTTTTAGTAAAACCCAACATTATAAATACCTTTCCAATTTACAATATATTACACAAATGTCATTACCTTTGTATCATAGAATACAAATATGATTAATTTAATTTTTTTACCATTATTTCTACTTTATCCCAATATAATACTAATATTTCTAAAACTCCATACAAAAAACAAATGAATATATAAATATGAGACGGAGGGAGTAGTATTTAATTAAAAGTTGGAATAAAGTAGGATGTAAAATACTAAAATACCATTGCTTTTTTAAGGATTTTAAAAAGTAAATTAGAGTAATAATTAGAGGTAATTTGAAAAAGTATGAATAATTTTGTTATAAAGTGGAGACCACAATTACTAAATAAGAAAATAAGACAATTGTTTTTAGACGGATAAAAATAAAAAAACAAGACAACTTTTTTGGGACGGACAAAGTAATATTTGTGTAATAATAATAACAATTGATATGGATTATACAAAAATAACAATTGTTATATAAGTTGGAGTAGAACGAAATGGATTTGTTTAGTTTTGGTCTAAATTTGAAATAAACATTATTCAACTCGTATTATTTTGATAAAATAAAATATCTAAAGCCTAAACTCGAATTAAAAAAAAAAAAAAAATTACCAAAATTTTCATCATAATATTATATAATATAATATCAAATATTATTTTTAAATTACTAAAATTTCAAAAATCTATTTAAATGGATTCTTACAGTGTGTTTGATAAACTGAAATCAATATTATTCAATATATTCATTCACCGTTAATGTCTATTGATATAATATACTCTCTCCGTTTATAAACTAATTTTTTACTTTTCATTTGAGGCGTCCGATAATTATTGTTCTATTTTCTTTTTTAAACACAAATTTTACATTTTTATCCTTAATTCATTTATTACTTTTAATCTCTACCATATAATTAAGGACAAATTTGTCAAATCATAATAAAAAGACAATCACCTAAAAAATCATGCAAAAATATACTTTAGAACAATAGAAATCGGCTATATATGTGTATATATATAATTATATTTAATTTTATAGGCATGAATATGATTGTAACCTATGTATATATTAGGCTATCTATTAATTACGAATCCGACAGTCATTTTTCTCCTTGAGATTGTTTGAGGTTACTATTTATTAGAAAATTTGTTTTTTCTTTTTTTTTTAATGATTTTTCAATATAAATATTTTATTATTATTATTATTATTATTATTATATCATATATCTTTTCTCTCGGGTAAAATGATTTCTTTTTAATGATCACACACGGATATAGACAATGTAAATTAATAAGCTATTAATTATAAATTATGATATTTATTTATTATTTTTTTCAGTAATGTTGTTGATATTTTAAAAATATAAATTAATAGATCTGATTAAAAAAAAGTTAAAATGTATATTTCAATACTTTTAGCATTATATTTCAATAAAATATATATAATATGAATATTTTATACTTCCTCCGTCCCAAAAATCCTGCAATATTTTCTTTTTGTATGTCTCAAACACCTGCAACATTTCTAAAATAGGAAATAATTAATTATTATTAATCTCTGCCCTACACTTTATTCTATCATATCATTCAAATAAAAAAATAAAATATATATTTTTCTCTCCATCACATCACCTAATTTCTAAATTATCCTACTTAATACAACCTATCTAAAAATAAATGTTGCACCTTGTTTGAGACGGAGAGAGTATAATACAAATAAAATAAATATTGTGATTTTTCTATATAAAAATATATTATATTATTTAATAAAATATTATATTTAAATCCAAACTTATACTTCAACTTTAAAACTAAAATTCAAAAGAACACATCCTTACTCATTATTTTTAAATTTCATATTTAATATTCATCCGTCGTCTAAATTCATATATATATATTTTTTGAGTTTTTATAAAAAAAATATTCTTATTTTGTTATCAAAAAATTATAATAATTATTTATTTTTTATTAAAATTTATACCTAAATATTTGAACGAATAATTGAATAACCGATGGAATATTATTTTTTATTTAAATATAAAATTAAATATTTACTATAAAAATATTGAAATACAAACATACATTCATATGTATTGTATTAGAATGATCAATTTTTATTAGATTAATTGAGTAATTTTTATATCCTAATTTTAATACTTTTGCTTATTAATCAAATTCAGCGTAAAATCTCCCTATACTTTAAAATTTGCACGGTACCCTCTTATACTTTAAAAAATATTGTATGAAACCCCACAACCATAAAATTTTCCTCGTGTGATAAGAAGATGATTTTCTATCTATATGTTTTGCATGACATGGGGTTTTATGCAATATTTTTGAAAGTATAAGTGAGCGTCATGCAATTTTTTAAAGTAAAATGGGAATTTATCTTTAGTTTCGAAACCACAAAGTGGTTTCAGGCAATATTTTTTAAAGTATAAGGGGACGTCATGCAATTTTTAAAGTAAAGGAAAAATTTACGCTGAGTTTCGAAACCACAGGGAAGTTATGAACAATTTTGCCTTAATCCTCTGTTTATATCTATTTAATCAAGTGCCTTATATAAATTAAAATGTGGCAAATTATATTCAATTTCATTGCAATAATTTTATCCTATAATAATTGTTCTTTTCCCAGTTATATTTTATAACACTATAAGATAATTATTCTATTCAATATTTATTTATCTTTAAGAATCAGTTTACAATTACTATTATAAACAAGGATAATTTATTTCACTTAAAAAAAAAATAATATTTTCTCCCTCCCATTGAAATGTTACTATTTTTTATTTTAGTCTGTCCTAAAATAAAGTTGTTATTTCTTAATTTAGTAATTGTATTACCTACCTAACATAATAAATACAATTCCAACTTACACTATATTACACAAATATCATTACTTTTATAGTATACGATACTAATAGGGGTATTTTTGTCTTTTTCACTATAACTCATTATAATACTAATATTAAAAAATCTACGTGCAAAAAGTAAACAAAAACCTTGCACCAGGAAGGACGGAGGGAATATACTTTTATGGCATGCTTGATTTTAATTTGAGTTTGAGATTTCGTTTAAATAAGTAACATTTTAATAAGCTATTTTTGTGAAAAAAGATAATATATTTTTTTATTAAAAATGACACTAATTAAATAGTGTAAATCTGGATTTCAAATAAAAAAACAAACAAACAAACTATTAGTTTCAGATTGATTTTAAGATATGACATTCTTTAATTTAACAAGTTCAATTTAATTACTTAGGAATTGTCTGATGGTGTAGGGGTTGGATTTGCCCCAGGTCACCTGCCACACATGGTTCGCCTAGTGTGACTTTTTCGTCGGGCTTAGTTTGCAGGGTATTAGGTTCGACAAACTTATATGCTATATTTGCATAGAACAATAAAAGAACATTAAATTACATGAAAATTGTGTTTAAATATTTTTAATTTTATTAAACTATATTAATTTTTAAAAAAATATAACTTATATTATTATAAACATTAAATTAACAAAAGCAATGAATTACTTTCAAATTTAACGATGATTAAGTAGATTTCAATAAATTAGCTTTCGAAGCTATTCCACAAAACAATTAGTTATACTTATTGAACTATAAAAATATGTTAAAATGCCATTTTATTATTATTATTATTATTATTATTATTATTATTGTATCAATCAACAATAACGATCATATACCATTATTTACATAAAACGATAAAAAAAAAAAAAAAAAATTACATGAAAATACATTGAATCATTTACAAATTTATCAAACTATATCAAATCTAAAACATGTAACACTAATATATTATAAACATTAAATTCACAAAATCTATAAATTATTTTTACATTTAACGATAATTAAGTAGTTGCTAACGAATTACCTTCCGAAACTGTCAGACAAAAAGATCCGTTGTATTTATTAAACTATAAAAAATATGTTCAAACGCATATTTGATTGAACCAATCAGCAAACGATGATCATATACTGTATCTACATAAACCGACAAAAAAAGTATTAAATTACATGAAAAATATATCGAATCATTTAAAAATTTATTAAACCATATTTAAATTTATATGGAATATATATGTATATATATATTAAATTCACAAAATCAATGAATTAATTTTTTTTTTTAATTCAACGACGATTAATTAGTTACTAACGAATTAACTTCCGAAACTATCCGACAAAAAAATTCGTTATATTTATTAAACTATAAAAGGTATGTTCACATCGTACCAATCAGAAACTACAATGATATACCGTATCTACATAATACGACAAAACAAACATCAAAGTTACGTGAAAAATTGCAAACTATTCACAAATTTATTTTAATTTAAAACATAATCAATTTTCAAATTATATTTGAAAAATATTGCCCAAATAAATGTATTTATTAAATGTGGCTTGGTTCAAATTATGTGTATATTATGGATATATTTTAGAAATATTAAAAAAATCTTATTTGAAATTACAATAATTTTATTTGCTGTTATTTTTTCAAATTTTTTTGAATTAATTAAAAAAAAAAAAAAGGGTTTTTGGAGGGGAGTGGGGGTGGGGTGGGGTTGCTGTAGGTGCAAGAAAACAGCAGAAAAAAAAGGGTTTAGTGCCAAGTGGAATTTTGTTTTCGACAAATGTCTTCTTCCTCGCGTCTCTGCGCTTTCTTCCCATGCTTTTCTTCGCCTTTCCATGGCGGAATTCACACTGTAATACCTTAACATACAGAGATAATACAACCTGTTTCTCATTCACACACCATTTATAAAATTTAATCTCGTCTTATCGAATCAAATCCTTTTCACAACTAATTCCTAATCAGATATTGCTGCATTCAATGCTGCCTGTTCCGAATTCAAATCCCCCTTTTTTCCCCTGATTTTGATTGCCCTAAATAGCCCCCCTCCCTCCATATATACCCACCCCCCAAACCCTCTCTTCTCCCCATTACTCCTTTTCTCTCTCTACTCTCTCTCTCTCTCTCTCTAAAAAATGAGCGATTTTGTCGAGGATGCCGCCTTCTGGCTGCCGTCGGATTTCTTCGACGATTTTTTAATGGAAGGTTTGAGAGCTGAGATGAAGATGACTCCTGCTACTGCTACTGCTACTGCTAATACTGCAACTGAGTCTGACTCGGCCGAGTTCCGATTCCCAACTGAGTTTCCGTACGAACTCGGAACTGAGTCCGACTCGCTCAAGGTGACGTGTCCTGTATTTTTATTTATTTATTATTTATTTTTTAATTAATTGACGTGCGGCGGTTTGGGTTACAGAAGAAGTGGGCGGAGGTGGTGGCGGCGGTGGTGGCGGCGGCGCCGACGTCTCCGCAGTCGACTCTGGTCAACAACAGCGCCGGCGGCTCCAGCAACGGCAGCCCCGATGGCGTCGCTTCGCCGCCGCTGCGCCGCGGCAATAACGACGGCGCCGTTGGGGATCTGATCAACCAAGCCGCCGGTCAAGTCGCGAAGCTGAAGCTCACCGCCGGTGTTGGGCCTGGGCCCGTGGCCCGTAATAACCCTGTGGGCCCACCTAAGCCCGGCCCACCTGCTCACGTAATCACATTACTTTTTTTTCCTTAATTACACTTTCCATCTATTAACAAAAAAGAAATTCATTTTCCGATCTCTTTGTATAGTTTCATGGGAATAGACCTAAGGGACCGCCGCAGAAGCCGAGAAGCCGGCCGGTCCGAGCTGTGTGGCCGGTTTATCCCGGACCGGCTCGCCACTACGGCCAGGGACCCAGGCCGTTTCCTCTCGGCCGCGGCCGTGGCCGCGGCGGACCTGCGCCACCGCCTCCGCCGGCGGCGGCGGCGGCAAATTGGCGTGCCGGGACTGGAGTTTTCCTGCCGAGGAGATATGTAATTAGCAACGACAATGTCGAGAACAACAAGACAGGTAATAAAAAAAATAAAATTAAAATTGATATTCTCGAAAATTGAATTTTTGTTCGAAATCTTTTGTCTGAAATTGGCTGAATTTAGGGACTGCAAGAAATATGCTGATTGTGGAAAGTGATGGAAATAGGGGCATGGCAGAGGGTGTGTGTGGGACCCATTAATCTAAGTGTGTGTCTGAAATATTGCAAATTTTAATTTAGGTTTGGGGCCAAGATTTGATCGAATTTCTTTGACTAAAACAAATCCCTTTTCTTAAATAAAAACAAATTCTCCTGCCATGATTTCCATTGACCACTCAGCCACCCTCCCATGATGTTCTTGATCCAATTTCTTGATAAAAATCTCATCTTCATTACAAATAGGTTGATTCAATTTCTTGATAAATATCTCATCTTTATTGCAATAGGTTATAATGTGCCATGCAAGAGAGACCCAATTCTTGTCCCGGACAACAACAATGGTATTGGGTTCGGCCCGAAGACGGCGCCGAACCCGATCTCAAGACCTAATTCTGGTGAGTGAATTATTATTATTATTATTAGTATTTCGACTAATTCGAGGTTGTTCTGTCAATTTATTTATTTATTTTTATTATTTGAATTGAATTATATATATATATATATCAGATATGGTGGTGGTTAGAAAGAATGCAGAAATGTGGAAGCAGGAGGAGGGTGGAGAGTTATCGAAGAAGATATGAATATGAAGAAGAAGAAGGTGGTGGGCAGCATGGAGAAGTAGTTATTATTATCAGTTAGCAGAAATTAATGTAATAAGAAGAAGGGACAGCACTAGGCATCAATGGGGGGTGGCCATTTTTTGGATGGAGGATTTTGCAATTTCTAATAATAATAATAATAATAATAATAAATAATAATAATAATAATAATAATAATAATAATAATAATAATAATTATAGGTAGAGGATGGTATGTCGATGTGGTCTTGTTGATGGGGAAAATTCATTTCATAGAAGCTACCCTACCCCACCCCACCCCCACCCCACCATGTAATAACATTATGTCTTCAATGCAATCGGAAGTTATAGCCTATGTTTTTATTTTTAAAATATTTATTATTATTATTATTATTATTGATATATCCAACACTGAAATCAATTAATCCATTAACTATTTTCAGTTACACTCACATCTTTTCATGGACAATTTAAAAGTTGTGTACTAATGGCAACAATTTTTATTTTTTATTTTAAAAAATATTATATTAAATATATTTTTTTTTATAAAATTATATTAAATATTTATTAGTACTAGCCTCTCAATTCCACAATAAATTATCTATTTTTTATTTTGGTTTGTCTTATAATAAAATATTCATTTTTTTTTTTATAACGATGTCATTACTTCTGTATCACACAATACTAATAAGGTTATTTTATTAAAAAAAAAAAAAAAGATAAAGTATTATTTTTTTCCAGCAAAACTTGAAAAGCCCCAATGAACAGATTGAAAAATATTTGAACTTAAGGTGTGTTCCTTTAGCAAAAAAAATATATACATTTTTTTAAAAATGTATCATAAATATTCATTATTTTTTTTATATTTTGTATACAATTTATTATATCTTATATTTAAAAAAAAAATACTTGTTCAAATTATCTTAAAAAACAAACACATCATTAATATTTCATAAATTCCAAGTAATATATACTACTATAGTAAGTTTAATATAAAGTAACAATAATATATTAATATGATAAAAAAAATAATAATGTATAGATCTCAATGATTATATTAACACTAACCAAATTTGCATAGATCTCAATAATTATAATAACACAAACCATATTTGTATAGATCTCAATAACATTTTTAAGTATTCAATAATTATAGGCAATACATCATATGTAAATATATATATATATATATATTTTAATATTTCTTTACTTTAAAAAATTTAAAATATAGTTCGTAACTTTTAATGAATCAATATATATACACTGAATAAAATTGAATAGCATGAATTATACCTTTTGAAGTCCAAAATAGTATGTGAAATGAAATAATTTTGCGTTACATTAAATATATATACTTTAATTTCATTCTAAAAATGACATATCTATTCAATATATATTTTTATCTTGTAAATCTTTAATTGATTGTTCATACGATTAAATTAAATTTGTCCATATAAAATTTGATATTTAATAGTGTAAAAAAATAAATTAATAATGTGTATTTATTTGTAAGGTTTTGATTTTGAATAATAAAGTTTTGAACTCATTTTTTTATTGTTATATATATATATGTATTGATTTGATATTTTTAATATAAAAATATATTTAGTGCAATATAAGAAATGGAAAAAAAAAATATTTAATTTGATATTTTTTTGAAAAAAAGAAATTGAAAATAGTAAAATCACCCCCAAACCTTACTGTGATTTAAATTTAATTTGAAATGAAATATTAATTTGAATTTTTGTTTAAATAATATTTTAAGATGATATTTTATGAGATGAAATAATATATTTTTATTAAAAAATCGAAAACAACAATCAAATACACTAAATTAATATAAAAATTGTGTAGGTAATAAAAAATAATAATAAGTATATAATATACTACCTCCGTTCGGCTCTACGGGTCTCATTTACTTTGTGAATGTTGATATTTGAAGATTAATTATTATATCAAAATATACTACAAATTAATGACAAAAATACTTCTATTAGTGTTTTATAATACTATTGTAATGACAATTTTGCAAAAAATTATACAAAATAGGAGTATTTTTAATGTTAAATACAATGACATAAAAGTAAATGAGACTCTTCTAATCGGACGGAAGGAGTATTAATTTTTGAGCAAAGATCATTTCTGGTCTCATTCAATATCATAATTATCAAATTTGGTCCCATTAAAAAAAATTATCAATTTTGGTCCCACTTCAATGAGAATTTATCAATTTTAATCCCAAGATAGTTGATTGGGACTAAACACGGCTGTGTTGGATGACTCAGAAAGTGACTGGGCATCCCAGGCAGTCAACACGGCCGTGTTGGGGCCGTGTTGATTACCCTGCATTTTTTAACACGGCCATGTTCCTGCTCGTGTTCTAAACACAACTATGTTCCTAACTATATTCATGCCCATGTTCTCAACACAACCATGTTTTAGGCCATGTTCACGACCATGTTTTCAATATAATCATATTGTATGTCATATTTATTATTATTTTCACTTTTTTGTTAAAATTATTTTATATATATATATTTATAATTCAACAAAAATATTTTTTACAACTATTTCATAATATAAAAAATAATCAAATTTTAATATTAAAATCATTTACCTTGGATTTAAAATCGAGATCGAAGGATCTTTGCAGATTTCCTTGTCTTCACATAAACTTTACCTACAAATTAAAAACACTTAAAAATAAGTTAGTATAAAATATATAAACAAAATTAATGCATGCATGTCCCAGGACGGATGTAAAAATAAATCTATTTCTATATGCATAATGCTAAATTAAATTAAATGCATAAATGTAAAAGGAAATGGACGAATTACTCCATATTATGTATTCGGTTGTCCGATCATCCGGTCACTCCCTTTCGTATGCATCTAAAAAGATTTAAAGTAGATGTTAGTATATATGTATAGGAAACAACAAAATAATATTAAAAATCACTTACCTTCGATTTGAAATCGAGATCGAAGGATATTTGCGAATCCCCTCGTCTCCACATAAGCTTTACCTATAAATTAAAAACACTTAAAAATAAGTTAGTGAAAAAATAGAAACAAAATTAATACATGCATGTCCCGGGACTTGAAATTAAATCTATTTCTATATGCATAATGCTAAAATAAATTAAATGTATAAATGTAAAAGAAAGAGACTAATTTTGTTATATGCATAAATGTAAAATAAATTAAATGCATAAATGTTAAAGAAAGAGACAAAAAGTGATGAGTTTTTGTTATATTAAGACTAGGATTGATAAAAATTTTATATTGGGACAAAAAATGATGAGTTTTGATTATATTTAGACCAAAATTGATAAGATTTTTATATTGAGACCAAAATTGATGAATTTTGGTTATATTTAACTAAAATTGATTTTTTCCCATATATATACACGAGTAATAAGATAATAAAATTTATGAAATATAGGTTAACAGAGCCTAACTTCGTATATTTTAGGGATTCTTATATTGTTATACAAAATATTTACTTCAATATTACATCAAATAAAAAATAGTTAATATAATATTTTATTACAAATAAGATTAACAAATATTAACTATATAAACTAAAATTTTTTAAACTACGTGCAAAAAAAAATTGGATTATTTTCGCGGAACGGAGGGAGTATATATATATATATCTAACAAGGGACTTTAATTCTCACAACATCAATTGTTTGGAGTTTTATTCTAATTTTTAAATATCGAGTTTGAATAGTTAGTTAAAATAACAAATAATCAAATAATCAAATATTTTATACATTAGTTATTTATTAAATTAACCAATAAAGATAAATAATAGTTTTAGCGTATAAATAATAATACTATAACAAAAATTATATAAACTAAGTATATTATAAAAATATTTTATATTTTATAATTTATAGTTTTTTAATATTAATTAAACAATTTAAATATCTTAATTTTAATTTATAATTGTTTTTACTAGTAGATTTCTTAATTACTTACTAATTATATTTTATCTAAATTCTCGTATTTACAATAATATATGCTCATATTACATGATACAAAAAAAGTAAAATATTAGTATTATAGATATCATTACATGCTAATTTGTAATTTACTAAAAAAATTATTATAATTAAACTTGATTAAAAAAATTAATCAAAACTATTTCAAAATATATAATATAATTTTAATATATATTAATATTTATTTGATATAATTAAAAATAAAATAAATAAATGTTAAAAATTTGAAAGATATTATAAAATTTCTAATAAAATATCTAAATGGTATAATAGGTAATTAAATAAAAAATTTTTTTGATAAAATCCCTCCCCTTCAAATTCCCCCAAATTCTATTGAAATTGACCTTTATACCTAAACTAAAATAATTGAATTAAAGATGGCTTATTTAAAATTAAACATAGAACTATTCTTTAAATATATTACGTAAATAATACTCCATAATATATAATATGTATATGCATAAAAATAAAAGACAATAGAAATTATAGTAGTACAACATATATTTTTTTTTATAATTTTCAGCATCGTGACAAAATATTTAAAATTATAAACATCAAACAAACAAAAAGTAATGTTTGCATTAAATATAATTTAATTAAATAAACAATATTTTTTTTTTTCAATAATATGTAAGTTAAATATATATATTTTAAATTGAGCCAAATTATAATTATTAAAAAAAAATGTATGAATTATTTCGAATAAATTAAAATGAAAAAGAAATACATAGATCGATTAGTATTATTAATTCAAGGAGCCAAATGCGACGCCGTTTCCACGCATGCAGATATTACACCGCAGAATTGAGATGCACAGGGAATAATTCCGGTGCTTTGCCGGAGATCGGAACTTTCTCAACCGCCGGCTTCTCGACGGTGACGGTGAGCACGCCGTTCTCCATGCTTGCCGCTACTCTGGAGGACATTCCCCTCCTCCACCTCCTCCTTGTCGCCGCGAATTGTGAAGCTCGTCGGAGAATGAGCTGTCCGGCCTCCGGCGGGAACGGATCCACAGCTCCAGCGAGAACGGACCGAACACACTTCGAATCAGCGCCATTTCTGCAAAAGATGGATTCAATTTGGTTGCAATTCGATAATCGGCGCGGCGGTGATCGGGGACCGTGTGATTTACAGAGATTTCAGTTGAACGATGGAGATTACTCGTGAAGCTTCTGGAGAAGTGGTCTTGGTCTGCAACGTCTTACAGTAGCTTTTCAAGCTTCAATCATGGCGAAAAGTTTGACTAAAACTCGAGGTAATCTATGGTAAATTAAAATAATCTATGGAAAATTCTTTTTATAATTAATAATAGTTCAGTTGGCTAATGAGTAGGCGGCCGCCATGGAAGGTGAAGGAGAGCTCGGAAGCTCCATCAATGGCGGTAGGCTGCTCTTCTTCTCACTGCCGTTGCAAGGCCACATGACGCCGATGCTTCATCTCGCCGCCATTCTTCATTCCAAAGGCTTCTCCATTTCTTTCATCCACACTAAATTCAACGCCCCCAATTCCTCCAAATACCCTCAGTTCACCTTCCATCCCCTCTCCGACCATCTCTCCGAATCCGAAACTGCAGGTCTCAGCGTCTTCGATTTAGCGTATTTGATCAACGACAAGTGTTCGGAGCCTTTCCGAGATTTATTGACTGAGTTCTTCACCGATTCCTCCGAGAATCGTCCTTACGCTCTGTTTTCAGATCCTGCCCTAACTTTCACCAGAGACATCGCCAAGAGCTTCGCCCTTCCGAGATTTGTGCTCAGAACCTCCGGCATCGGCGCTTTCCTCGTCTATAGCTCATTTCCTCTGCTTCAGGAGAAACATTATCTCCCGATTCAAGGTACAAATCGAAAATTGAGGGTTTAAGATCCCCCAATTAGTGTCTGAAATTGCTTTATCTTTCTTATATTTGCAGCTTCTCAGTTAGAACAATCCGTTGGCGATCTTCCTCCACTAAGAGTCAAGGATCTGCCGGCGATCGGCGTGCCGGACATGGAAACATTCACCAAGTATATATCAGAGCTTGTCGAGGAAGCTAAAACTTCTTCAGGCGTCATATTCAACTCATTCGAAGAGCTCGAAGACTCTGCCATGGCTGTTCTTCGCCAAACTTTTCCAGTGCCGATATATCCAATCGGTCCCTTTCACCTATACTCACCACCGAATTCGAGCAGCTATTTAACACCTGATCGGACTTCCATCTCCTGGCTGGACAAACAAGCCCCAAAGTCAGTGATCTTCGTGAGTTTCGGAAGCGTTGCATCATTGAAACAGAGAGAATGCTTGGAAATCGCTTGGGGATTAGCCAACAGCGGCTGCCATTTCTTGTGGGTGATCAGACCTGGATCAATCTCCGGCATGAATCGTCAAGATGCATTGCCTGAACAGTTCATGGATATGGTGGAGGGACGAGGATACATTGTCGAATGGGCTCCTCAGCACGATGTTTTGGCACATCCAGCCATTGGAGCTTTTTGGACGCATTGTGGATGGAATTCAACGCTGGAGAGCATCTGCGAGGGTGTGCCTATGATTTGCACGCCCCGTTTTGCCGATCAGATGGTGAACTGCAGATACGCGACGAATGCTTGGACGATAGGTGTGGAACTGAGGGATGGATTGGAAAGGGATAATATCGCTAAGGTAGTCAGAAGACTAATGGTGGAGGAAGAAGGGCTGGAGATTCGACAGAGAGCTTTGGATTTGAAAATGAAGGCTAAATTAACAGTAACACAGAACGGAGGCGGGGCTTCATTCGAATCGTTGAAGAGCTTAATGAGCTGCCTATCATCATCTTCTTGATTGCTGCAAAGTACGATCTCTCATGATTAATCTCAGTTTTCTTGTTTAGTTCGTGTATATATATGTGTGTGTTCTTTGGGTATTGTTTGGTATCTTTAAATGCAAATTTGGGAATGTGGTGAATCAATCTATGATCTATGTGTCGAATTGCTTGTTTAATTGCATGTTGTAATTTTATTTGAATTATTTCTGCTGCAAGGTTGTAACTTTTATGGGAGATTGTCGGCATTTGATTAGATACACTCGAACATTTCAATCTTATTGCATTATGCTAATTTGATACTGGCAGTAGGGCCTTACCTCTTTTACCAGATAACAATAGATTGTAGTCTAAATTTTAATGTCAATAGATTTAGATCAGGAAGAGGTATATAAAAAATCAGAAGATCATTTGCAGGCTTGTGTTTGGAAAGTGGATTGAATTGATTAGAAATTTCAAGATTTTGGTGTGAGGCTTCAGATCACTCATCCAAAGACAACTGAAGCAAATCAGAAGCCTTTTCACGGAGTGTATGCACATAAATCAGTTTGTTTATGACCCTTTTGTTGGATCATGTTTTGTGTTCCATTAATCTACTTACAGTTTTTTGTTTCATTTTGTAGTATTGGGGGCCTTATTTAGAATGTCATTTTACTTCCGACAAGATTCAGCTGTGCTGTATTTTTACGAAAGTGCCTGCTTATTCATATGAAAGAACACACCAAACAATTCACCTAATTTACATCTATAGAAGCAAGTTAAAATTTCAGGCACTCACACCACAGTATGCTTTGGCAGTGCTCTCAGTCATATCTGTAGTGCCACTGAGATAGAACTGTGCCAACCCAAAATTGTCGAACGGCTTAAATTGCTGAGGATGCTCTGCATCCACCAGCTCCTCCGGTATACAGGTAATACCATAGTTGAATGAGAAAAATGCCAGACAATACCTAGGCCTATCCCCTTTCATTATCACTTGATGCTTTGCTGCAAATATCCTCCCATTGCTCCATGCCTAGGTAAGAAATTAAAAGCACCATTACAGAATTGTTTCTTTATATTCATCCTATCTACATACATGTATAGTTATTAACATGAATCTTTATGCTGTAGAAAATTGCTTACTTGATAAGCATCCCCTGCCATGACAACAAATGAAGCAGGCGGGACATCCACAGAAAGCCATTCTCCATTCCTCAGCTGTATTTCCAAACCATTGACCTGGTTTTGGTGAAGTATGGCTAAGAAGCCTTTATCAGTGTGAACATTTGTTCCCACATTATTGCTGTTGCCGTTGTCGCTATCTGGAGGTGAGTATTTTATGGTTCTGAGAAGGTACGTTGTTGATGAAATATGGGATTGGTAGTGTCTTTGTGCTCCATAGCTTGTAAACACCATTTTGTCCACAGTTTGTTCGAGTTCTGATACTAGTTTAGCATAACATAGTATGCTTTCACTGCACAAGGATAGAGTAAGTAACCTGCTCGAAAAAGTTTTCTTGTAAAATTTCAAAGTTATTAGACATATTTCTGAGATAATATCTAACTCTTAGCTTGGTTACAAGTTAGTTCTGAACCTGAAGCTCAAGAACACTGTAATCAATTCATGTTAAGCTTTGAACAGGTTACCTGAATCTATTATTTCCCGACTGCCACATGAGATTTGTGAAGCTTTGAACAGCTTCAGAAGTGGTTACCTCTGGAATTCCCATGCTTTCATGGAGGGGGGCATGGGGAAGTTGTCCGACATAGCCATAGAACACCAAGTCAGAAGTGTTCCTAGTTTTGATCTCGAGCGGCAGATCGAACAGCTCTTCCATTACATCAAACACTTGCCTGTCTAGTTCTCCTGAAACATCATCGTATTGTGCTATAAAATATCCATACTCTTCAAGGGCTTTCTTCACATTCTTGCAATCTTCTATCCATGAATCTGAACTGGGATTTGTGTTTTTTCTTGACAGATCAAAGATCGGAATCTTGGGAGTTGCTGCATTAGAACTGCTCATCATGGGAGTAAATTACAACAGCTTTTTAATCTGCTTGTGTTTAAGCTGTGTGTGTGTGTTTGTGGTTTGGAATAAATAGGCACCACTTGAGCTCAATATTGTTGATTCGACAATAGTAAAAATTTGAACTGAAATAGTATTTTAGGTGATATTTTTAAATGAAATTTCATATATATACACACGGACGGAACTATTAGGGGTTTGGAGTCACCTGCCTCCGGCCCCAAAAATATATTTGATAGTAAAATTATGTATTTTCAATAATCTGACCCCTTTCCCCTATTTCTTAGTTTTTATTTTTATGTGTAAAAGTAATAAATATTATATAATTTTATTGATTTATTATTCAATATTTAATATTTTTAATAAAAAAATTATATAATTATGTTAAAATTTTCAATTTTGAGCACATTATTTTTGCCTATTTTTTTTTCTTTATTCTTTATCCGGTGTACCAAAGGGAATTAAAAAAAGAAAGACATCGAACTAATAAAAATGAATCTATATTTTCTTCCCGAAGCTTGAAGGCTAGTTTTGTCACTGTATATATATATACACTAAATAAAAAATTGAGTGTTTGATCGGATGAGAAAAAAAAAAAAAAAAAATTGATGAAAGAGTCTTCCGGCTCATTTAGTTAATCAAATATATTATGTGTTAATTCATGCATGGGTGGCAAAGTGACAATTTGGAATAGTATAAAAGAGTAAGATTTGAGATCCTATATATGTTTTGGAGATTATGAATGGGTTTTTTAATGGTCAAAGATTTTGCATAGCAGAGGGAATATAGATAAATTTCATGTAGTAGGATGTTGAGAGATTTGATTGATAGGTATCTATTACCTAACTGCCATGAAAAATAACAAATTAGGGATGGGATCATATTGATCATAGTCATACTAAAAATTAAATTATTTGGGTGTAGATTGGATCTAGTTTCTTGTTTATTTAGTTAAAATGTGATGTCCCTGTTGGTCCCCTTGGTTGGCCAAGAACTTCCAAAGGGTTACATCAATTCTGTGTTATGTCATGGTTGACATAATTGAAGTGGCTGCACATTTGATTGCAAATTTTTGATGGATGCATTTGTCTTTTATATTTTAGATATTGTGCCATTGTTGCAATCAATGAGTAATATATGTATTTTAAATATATATATATATATTTATTTTTTTAATGACGTATGAACCCGCAGTCGCTACCTGAAAATACGCACTGAGTAAACCTCCAGTCGAACCTAATACTCTACGAACCAAGCCCGATGGATTTTTATTACTTAGGGTGAGATAGTAAGATTGCTGATTAAGTATGAATTTTTAAAAGTTTTGAGATTATGTAGTACTAGTGTGCTCACCCACCCCTGCGTGTTACACAGTTTGTGTAAATTAATAAATTTTATTATATGACAATTTATTTAATCCTACCTATGAAAGAAGTATTGATGTAAATTTACAAATATGTTCAGTCAACATTTGAATGTACTTCTGTGATATTAATACATAAATTTTTTATTATTATATAATAAAAATAACAATATTAAATAGATGACAATATATATTGAAAAATAATAAAATAAATATATGACAATATAAAAATATATGATTAGTTAAAGATTATTAATTATATTTTTTGAAGAAAAAAAATAAATATATAATCCTTATATAATTTTATATATATATTTAAAATATCATGCCTGCAAAATTAAAATAAATAAGAAAATGATTAAAAAATACTAATCAGTTATATAAAAAAAAAATGTTTAAATATAATTTTTTTTAAATATATTATTCATGATACTCATAATATTCTCGTATGTTTATCTATATATTTATGTATAAATAAGTTATATATATATATATATGCATATATATGATTGTTATAAAATATTTATTAAAAAATATAATAGATAAAATTAAATCATAATTTACAATTATAAGGGATTTAAGGTATGTTCTTTTGAATCGAATTTATTAAAAAACAATAATAGTCTATAAATAATATATATCTTGAGGAAAAATATAAATAATATTAATGATCATCAAATCGAAGTGTAAAAATATACATAGAAAAAATAAAAAATAAAAAATACTCATGTTTAGAAGCAATTATAAAAATAAAGCAAATTTCTTTTAATTATTATATAAAAGAAATAACACTATAATCAACAAAAATAAATAAAGTCAAAAACAAAAATAGAATATTGTATACATTTTCTATAATGTTGAGTTTTAAAATATAAAAGTGCTACTAATAAAAAGAATATATATACATACAACCATAAACTAAATAATAATAGAAAAACTCCAAAATATAATTATTATTAATCTTTTTTTCCATTAATTGATATATTTGATATGAATCTCTTCTCCATAATCGAACAATAGATATTGTCACATGTAAAAAAAATAATAAAATAAATATATAAATAAAGAAATAAATAAGATAGTGTAGATGATGATATTTGGCGATGATAAAAAAATCATAATTCAAATTAATTTATTAAAATCATAAAATACTATAAAAATATTTTAAAAACAATCTTATTCAAAATTAAAATGAATAATAGAGATAACATATATATATATAAATAAATACTCATAATAAAACCATTATGTTTTTCTTTATCTATATACATTCAATATAAATGGTAATTATGAAAAAAAAAAAATTGTATATAAATAGATATAATCTTAGCTAGTGGAAAAAAAAAAAAATCAAATATAGAAACACAAACAAACACATTTTATAAATATATGGCATAGAAACAAAATGTAAATATACAACAACAAATATTTTTACATTAAAACAAATTATTTTTCTTTCACAAAACAAATCCACTCTCAACCTCGTATTATCAAAACACCAATGGATGGTACCTTTAAATATACGAAAAAATGCATTAAAAGTTATCATAATTTAAACCTCAATTTATGCCTAAATATATTCATTATCCAATAATTTCATTAAATAAGACAATTATGCTTATTAATTATGAATAATTAAATAAAACAATTTTATCAAAATTTTGAAAATAATAACAAAAAAAAAATATCAAATGTGAAATTTACATTGATGTCTTTTATATATAATAATAATATATTAAAATTTAAATTTTAATATATATTATTAATTATATCAATTATAACTACATAATATTAATAATAATTGTTAACTATATCAATTAATATAATTTTCTTTATTAAAAAATTCAAACAATTAAGAAATAAAATTTGGTCACGTGAAACCTCCCTCAAATATATAATATATGGATATGTATTACATAATAAATATATTAAATTATCTATATAATATATAGATAATAATAATAATAATAATAAGAGAATTAAGTGTGACTAAAACAGATAAGAAACTGAAATATCTGTAAACACAAAATTATATGAAATTATTTATACACAGTACAAAATAAAAATAAAATAAAATAGTATAAGTAAATTATACGTTAAATAAAAATATATAAATTTATTTTTAAAAAAATAAAAATAGAAAGAAACAATAAATTGATATGAGATCCATTTTTCATACATATAATTAAAATATATTTTCAAATTATCATGATTAATTATAATTTCATAAATTATATCTATTATAACTATATCAATTAATATAATTATTTAATATAAATTATAATGAAAAATAGGAAAATTTCATTATCCATTATTTACTGGTATAAATAAAAATTAAGAAAATTTTAAATTAATTTTAAATTTTTTAAGAATTAAAAAATAAAAAAAGTATAGAATTATGAAACTTATTTGCGTTTTTATATATATATATATATATATATATTAAAATTACAAAATATAATTAATGATAGTTTTAATTTTATTGATTATTAATATATTATTTTTATTATAAAAATAAATAAAATTATATTCCAAAGTTATTACATTTTCAATAGCATTAATCAGGGGTATAAATAGATAAAATTATAATTTACTTTAATCATAAATTAAATCAAATATTTTATTATATTTAAATTATATTAAATTATAGTTTTATTAATTATGATATACTTAATGACATTAAATATATATTTATTTTATTAAGAGATCAAAAATAAATCAAAAAATAAAAAAATTTGACAAAAAAAATTTGATGAGGTGGACTCCACACCGATCTCTTTTATATATATATATATAACGGTATTTTCCTTTTAAGAAATATCTTATAAAATATATATATTCCATCATCCATTCACTAAAATTAGTCCACTTAAGTTCAGTAAGAAAATTAAAAAAAAAAAAAATAGATATTTTATTGTAAATGTAATAGATAGTTATGAGTATTTTAGAAAATTTAGTTATAAATTAAAGTAAACAAAACAAAGTTAGTGATATTTTTTGTTTTATAATTTTTAAGATTTTTCAAAAATCAGAAAATTTTTTGAAAAATTCATTTGTTTTTTTTTTCGTTTTTTTAAGAAAATATTCTGCTAAATTATTTAAATACAAAATTAAAATTAATTTTTTTTCCCAAAATTCAAACCCAAAGAAACATATTTTTTGTCTTGAGTTTTGCATAATAAATTCTACAATTTTGGTCAAGTAGCCATTTATCAGCAACATCATATGGATTGTCTGTAAGTAGCCATCAAGGAAAAAATAATCATAATAAAAATAATTAGAAATTTGAATTAGAAATTTGAATGCAAAATTTTGGTGATACAGAAGTATAAGTATCGGGTGTGTTTGGGGATTAATATTTTTTTCTAAAAATATCAAATTGAACATCTATTTTTTATTTTTTATATTATACCGAAAAATAATTTTACATTAAAAACATTAAGACCTATTTATATCATATCATACCACTATTCAAATTTAAAATTTTTATTATTCAAAGCTCAATTTAAAATCCAAATCCCAAACAAACACGTCACAGTTTAAATTCTATCAAAGTTATACCAGAAGATTCGGAAAATATGTTGGGCTTTTCTTTATTCCCTCCAATGTGTTTAAGCCCAAATTTATTCTTTTGTGATTTAAAGATTGTGTAAGGTTTTTATTTATTTATTTTAGAAAATATGACACAAATTTCTTTTAAAATTGCATATGAGCCCTTGTACTTTTATAAATATTAGCATAAAATTTCCTTAAAAAAAATCTTGTACAATGTTACGAAAATATCGGTATAAGACAGAATTGTACAGAATTTTCAAATAACATTTGAGTCAAACATAATTTTGTTTTAAATAATTTTGTATATGATTTGGCTAGTGTGACTTACTTTATTGAAATTTGAAATGTAACTACGTGTAAATTTTGATCGTTGATTTTGAAGATTTGAACGAACAGATAAATTGATTTTTAATATAATATAAAAAATAAAAAAAAATTAATATTTAAAATTCAATTTCCAAACAAACATACATTTTGATTAGTTTGAGGACAAATTTATTTGAGCATATTGCAAACTCTTCCTGTCAAAGGAAAATTCAATTAGCATAAATAAAATATACAAATATAGCATGTATCTATAAAAAATTATATTAAAATATTATTTAAATTAAATTTGAAAACAAAAATTCCAAAATTCAAACTAAATAAAATCGATAAAGACAAAAGGGTGCATTTGATTCAACCGATAAGATATGTCACTAATTTATCGGTTCCATAGGAAATTGGACTGTCCCAATCTCATGTTAGGCCACCTGCACTTCAATTATTGAGATGAGCAGCGAATATTCCGGCGCGGCGGCGCCGCCGCACATTCTTATCTTCCCGGTGCCATTACAGGGTCACGTGAGCTCGATGTTGAACCTGGCGGAGATCTTCTGCCTGTCCGACCTGCACGTGACGGTAGTCCTCACTGACTACAGCCACCGCCGCCTCCTCCGCCACGGCGGCCTCCACTCCCGCTTCTCCCGCTACGGCGGCGCTTTCCGGGCGGCGACAATCTCCGACGGCCTCCCCGACGACCACCCTCGTACCGGCGAGGCGATTTTTGACGTGGTGATGAGCCTCAGAGAAGTCGGCGGGGAACAGTTCCGGCGAGTAATGGAATCCAGCGACGGCGCGTCACGGCGGCGCGTGAGCTGCCTTATCATAGACGGCATGATGAGTTACACTCTTCCGGTCGCCGCCGAACGCCGGATTCCGTACTTCATCTTCCGCACGATCAGCGCGTGCGCTTTCTGGTCGTATTTTTGTACGCCGGAGATCATCGCCGCCGGCGAAATGCCGTTAAGAGGTTCTCCAAATCAATTATATATATATAATTTTTTAAAAAAAAGAAACCTTTTTAATTAACATCAAACTGATAATTTCAGGGAACGATGAAGACAAACTAACATACTGGAGGAAGAAAGAAATGGATTTTCCGGTGACCGCCGTGCCGGGAATGGAGGGGATTCTCCGGCGGCGGGACCTTCCGGGGCTCCTCCGTGTGAACGACGCCGCGAATCTTTCGCTTCAGGCAATGGCAGCAGAGACGAAAGCGACTACTAAAGCCAATGGATTCATTCTCAATACATTCGAAGATTTAGAAGGTCCGATTCTCGATCAAATCCGCAAACATATTCCAAATCTATACTCCGTCGGCCCTCTCCACTCACATTTGAAGTCAAGGTTGGAGTCGAGTGGATTCGAATCGTCGCAAAAGAATTCAAGTAGTTTTTGGGCCGAAGATTCGAGCTGCATTGACTGGTTGGACTCGCAACCTATAGGATCGGTTGTGTATGTAAGCTTTGGTAGTGTTACGATGTTGACAAGGGATGAATTGTTCGAGTTTTGGTACGGTTTGGTGAACAGTGGAATCAGATTTTTATGGGTGATACGACCTGATTCTGTAGTCGGGAATAGGGTTGGGGATACGATCCCGGAGGAGTTAGAAGAGGGTACAAAACGAAGAGGGCATATGGTGGAGTGGGTCCCACAATCGACGGTTTTAGGGCATCCGTCGGTCGGTGTGTTTTTCACGCACAGTGGATGGAATTCGATCTTGGAGTGTGTTGCGATTGGGTTGCCGATGATTTGTTGGGCTTATTTTGTCGATCAGATGACAAATAGTAGGTTCGTGAGCGAAGTTTGGAAGATGGGATTGGATATCAAAGATACTTGCGATCGAGTTATAGTTGAAAATGTTGTTCGGGAAGTTATGGAAGTCAGAAAAGATGAGTTTCTAGAAAGAGCCCGTGCGATGTCGATTATGGCGAGGAATGCTATTTCCGAAGGTGGTTCTTCGTTCGTGAACTTGAACCGATTGAACGAGTTTTTAAAGTCGACTACTCAACGATAACTAATGTAGCTCAAGAATGTAGTTTGATAACTAATGTAGCTAGAGAATGTAGTTTAAAACTTTCGGAAAATGTATTTCTCGTTTATTATTGCATAATTTCATCGGCAATCAATTTATCAGTGAATTAATATACTCGATAAAATCATCCAAGTTAGAATACGAAGAACCCCCTCCACTAATCGCCTTCTTGGCAAGTTTCGCCATATGTTCGGCTCGTTCTTGAAACTCATCCTTCCTGACTTCCATAAGCTCCGTAACAACATTCTCGACGATATGTCGATCACAAGTGTCTTTTATATCTATCCCGATCTTCCAAACCTCACCCACAAACCTACTAACCACCATTTGATCAGCAAAATACGGCCAACATATCATCGGAACACCCGCTACAATACTCTCTACAGTCGAATTCCATCCACTGTGCGTAAAAAATCCACCAACGGCCTGATGGTTAAGCACTACTTCCTGCGGCGCCCAATCCACAAAACGGCCCAATTCTTTAGTACCTTCGACTAATCCCTTCAAAATTTCATCGCCTTTACCGGCAATCACATCAGGTCTTATCACCCACAAAAATCTAATTTTACTGTTCATCAGACCCTGCCATAATTCTAACAATTGTTCCTTCGTCACGATTGTAATACTTCCGAAGCTCACATATATCACCGATTTTTTGCCTTGCAAGTCCAGCCAATCAATGCAGCTCCAATCCTCGGCCCAAAAACTACCCGATGAACTCGAGGATCCAGAATTGGTCTCGACGAGTCTCGACTTCAAGTGGGCGTGGATTGGGCCGAGGGTAAAGGTTCTCGGGATTTGCTTGCGAATCTCGGACACTATCAAGCCTTCCAAATCGTCGAATGTATTCATTATCGCCGCTTGTGCTCGAACCGATTGCCGTGTGACGGTTATAACGTGTTTCACGGAGGGGTCGTCGGCGTACACCGGATTGTAAAACCGCGGGAGGTCCCGGCGCCGGAGAATTCCGGCCATCGCCGGCAAGCTCATTATGAGTTCATCCATGGCGTCATTTTCTTGAAAATGATCAAATTAGTTACGAAAGAATTGTATGTTATTTTTTTAAATTTAAGAGTTTGTTTTAAAAATTGAGTACCGTTTTTGGGGGTTTCGCCGGCGGCGATGATCTCCGGCAGCCGGAAAAGAGTCCAGAAATAAGCGGCGCCGGAGGTGCGGAAAGAAATGAGCGGGATTCCGGTCTCCGCCGCGAAATCGGTGGCGAAGTCGAGAATCCCGTCGGCGACGATGCAGGTGGCGCGGCGGCGGGAGGCGGAGGCGAGGAGGCCGTCGTTGACCATGACGTTCTTGAACGCCGGCGCCATGGTGGCGGCGACGGCGGAGATGATTTCGAGGGCTTTTCCGCCGACGCGGGGGTGATCGTCGGAGAGGCCGTCGGGGAGGGGGAGGAAGCGGAAGCCGGAGTAGGCGGAGAAGATGGAGTGGACGGCGGCGTGGCGGAGGAGGCGGCGGTGGTAGAAGTCGGAGACGACGAAGGTGACGTGGAGGCGGGAGAGGCAGAGGAGATGGGCGAGGTTGAGCATAGAGTTGTAATGGCCTTGGGCGGGGAGAGGGAAGATAACCACGTGCGCCGGCGGCTCGTTTTCAGACGCCATTGTTACAGCTTGGGAGTTGCAGAAGGAAGGAAGAAGATAAGAGAATTTATTGAAGGAAGAAGAAGAAATCAATTTGTAAAATGCATTGGAGAGCATTCCTCATTGATTACGTCACCTACTAGCTGCAAAAGTTTGTTACTTTCAATTTAATGGTCTTCATCTCCCACTCACAAAATATCTTCTTCGTTTTTTTCATTATTTTATTTTTTTTTTCGTTTCGAGACTTGAAGGATTTATTTGTTTGATAGAATTGTACGAAAAATAATTTTTTTTTAATGTAAAATATAAAAGTATATGTAAAAAATAATAAATATATATAGTATATTAATTTTCTTTTAGAAAAATATATAAGAGAAAATAAAAAAAAAAAAAAAAAAAAACACAAATCTTTTTCAAGTAATATTATGCACCTTAAACTAAAGCAATGCATCTTCATATTACTCCAAAAAAGCTTGTATGAGTTTTTGTAGGGAATGAGTCTTTAAAGAAAATCAAATATATTCATATTAATATTATTGTGTTAAAAATTACGAATTCTCAATTTATAAATAAAATAAAAAATAATCTTACCATCTCTAGACAACATATCAAAAATTCTTTGTTGGAAAAGCACAATCGTATTGTCACTTAGGGTCTATTTGATACCGGAATATTGAAATGAAAAAATATACATTTATTTTTGTTTATTTGAGTCGAAAAATTCAAATTAGAGAAATAAATTTATTAAAATTTTTATTCCATGTGTAAAATCATTGTCCATATTATTTATTTTAGTTGGGTTATATAACCAGGTTTCTTGATCTTATAAAATTGTTCATTGCTTAGAGCATTTTTAATCATTACCTCTCCGGTTATCTCTTTTAGTAAAAATAACAAAAAGAAAGATAATTGTAACATATACTCTTACAACAAATGATGTTATTTAATTATTTTTCAGTTTTTTTTTTTTTTCTACATGCTATCAACTTAAATAAAACATTCAAAATATATAATTATTGAAAATTTATTTTATTATTATATAACATATAATTATACACCATGAAACTGATCAATTCTCATACAATACAATTATATTCAATAAAAATAACATAAAAATTCACATAGTCATAAATTCATATTTTAAAATTACTGATGCACCAAATAATCTCAACCACTCATTCAGCAGATGGAAAATGGACGGCCAGGATTTAACCTGAGATATCGACAGCCTTTACCTCCGTCTTCTTCACTTCCTCCTTCGGCACCGTCACCGTCAGAACTCCGTTCTCCATCGCCGCCTTCACCTGCTCCAGTTTCGCATTTTCCGGCAGCCTGAAGCGGCGGAGGAACTTGCCGCTGCTTCTCTCAACACGGTGCCACTTATCGTTCTTCTCCTCCTGCTCTTTGTTTCTCTGGCCGCTAATCTGCAAAATCGTTCCGTCCTCCACCTCCACCTTCACCTCCTCCCTCTTCAATCCAGGAACGTCGACCTTGAACACATGAGCCTCCGGCGTCTCCTTCCAGTCGATCCGAGCGTTGGCGATGGCGGTTGCGTCGGAGGAAGGAGCGTTTGCGACGGAATTGAAAGGAAATCCTTCGAATGGATCCCAAACATCCAAGGAAAATGGATCGAAGACGTTGCTGCGGCGGTTGCCGAAGAAACTCGGAATTAGAGACATTTTGTCTGCTCTGTGCGGAAATTTGGTAGTGATCGGAGCTTGATTTACGGAGAATTTGATTATCTGCAGATGCTATTGAAGAATTCGTTTGGTGATTTGGTGAAGAAGAATGGCGTTTTATAGAGATGAACAGAGGCTTCTCGTGCTTTCGTGAGAATTCTGAAAAACAAACGCTTTTTTGGTTCTCCAAGTACATTCTGGATCATACCAGAATTATCTATTTTTTAAAATATATATATATATAGGAATATAAAATTTATTTTGTTTGTTTTTATTTTTAATATATTTTAAAATATATAGTAATTTATTTTATTTTATTTTATTTTGTTTAATATTTAATACTCTATTTTTATTAATAAATATATTAATGTTTTTAATAAAAATTATCAAACAAACACCTTCAAAATGTAAAATTGAACAGAAAGTTACATTAAACATTTTGGAATGTATTCTCTCTTGAACAATGCAGGTCATCCTTAACTAGAATATTATACTCCGTCCGTATTGTCAGAAGGGTGGTATTTGTTTTTTTACTTAAATTTTTTAATATTAATATTATATTAAATTTAGTAAAAAAAACAAAAATATTTTTTGATATAATATAAAAATAACGACTTTTGTGTAATATATTGTAAGTTGAAAGAGTATTTATTATATTAAATATATTGTACAATTACTAAATTAAAAAATGATAACTTTATTTTAGAACGAATGAAAATGAAAAATAGTAATATTTCAATGGGACAGAGGGAGTATACGTTCTTTTATAGGGTTTGTTTGTTTTTGTCAAAAAACTAAATCCATATTCTTTAAATATATATTACACACATTTTTTTATATATTATTTATAAATTTTTATATTTCAAAAAAAAAAAAAAAAACAAATCATTTTACAATACAAACAAAACTTTTCTTTTATTTCTTCATTCTCATACATGTTTAACTCCTTAATATACATATTTTTCAAAACCAATAATAACTCCCTACTAAAATAATAGTTTTATTTTGTCTTTTTTTTTTTTTTTTCCTTAGACAGCAGTCTCATTTTATTTTGGTATTAACGCTCTATTTTTTTTACAAAATTATCCCCACATTATCTCAATAATTATATAAAGTACAAATATATTAATCTTTAAAAATATTTTTACACCGCCACTGTTAATATAATATTATTATTTTTTAATTCTCGAACTCATTTTAAGGTTATTCCCAACCCTTCACTTCATTTTCGCAGTAGTTAAAAATGACAGTTTATCTACACTAATTTTACTTCAATTTTGCACTCTAAAAGAAATATATTCTCTGTATATTCTTTATATACCTTTTCATATTTATAAATTACACTACAACTTTAATTTATTTTATACATTATAATCTATATCTATATAATTTATATTTTCTTTAAAATTTACATATATAAAAATTAACATTTATAATTTATAACTATTACCAATAAATATTTTTAAGAAAATAAAATTATACAATACTTTTAAAATATATATATATCATTTTCTTAAAAAATAAAATTACATATCACTTTAATAAAATAAAATTATACATTATTTTATTAAAATAAAATAAAATTACATTCTCCCTCCGTCCTAAAATTATAGTTTGTGTTTGACACGGAATTTAAGGAATATTAACAATGAGTAAAAAGTACTGCTAATGACTTTTTTGTCTTTTGTGAGTGTATTGGTGTAAAAAATAGTGGCAATTGTGCAATAAAAATTAAAAAGTAGATGTAATTTTATGGTAATATGATTATTTATGAAAATAAAGACTATTGTTTAGGACGAACAAAAATAATAAATAAGACTATTGTATTGAGACAAAAAAATATATAATTATTTTTTTAAAAAAAAAGTAGGCAATAAAAAAAAAAGAATAATAAAAATATATCGAACACCACAAAATACTACCAAAATTCCACTCAAAAAAATATAATGAAAGTATAAAATAACACTATATAAAACTGCATAAATAGAACAAAATTTGAAATAGATTAGAGCCCCTACACCAATTTTTTCCACAACCCAGTGGGTTGGAAAAGGCCTAACTGTCTCTCTTATTCCCAAACTATTTTGGAGGAGAGAGTATATAACAAATATTAAAAAGAATTATTAAATAAATAAAAATTATTATAGAGGCTGCTAGAACGATCTCGCGTGGTCTAGAGAAACATCGAGTCGAAACCGCTAAAGCGTTCTTCAGAAAGCGCCAGAAATCGCGAGAACACTCCAACCCCCACTATAAATTGCCTTTCAGGGCTCTCCGAAGAACACCACAAAATCTCCGAATCAGTTGAAATTCAAGCAGTAGAAGCAATTTTCAATCTTCAGCGTCCAGAGAATCGTTCAATTCTCACTCGAAACAGGTCAGAATGTCTCTGATTCCAAGCTTTTTCGGTAACCGCCGCAGCAACATCTTCGATCCATTCTCCTTGGATCTTTGGGATCCGTTCGAGGGACTCCCCTTCCAAAATTCGTCCTCGGCTCGGGAGACCACCGCCATAGCCAACGCTCGCATCGACTGGAAGGAGACGCCGGAATCGCATGTCTTCAAGGTCGATGTTCCTGGATTGAAGAAGGAGGAGGTCAAGGTTGAGGTGGAGGACGGCTCGATTCTGCAGATTAGCGGCGAGAGAAGCAAGGAGCAGGAGGAGAAGAACGATAAGTGGCATCGCGTGGAGAGAAGCAGCGGCCAGTTCCTCCGCCGCTTCAGGCTGCCGGAAAATGCGAAGCTGGATAATGTGAAGGCGGCGATGGAGAACGGTGTTCTGACGGTTACTGTGCCTAAAGAGGAAGCGAAGAAGCCGGACGTCAAAGCCATTGACATCTCCGGTTAACTCTGTCCTCTTCTTATACACATACAATTTCGTGCTCCTTAGTTCCATTTCTGTTGCTCGTTTTCGATGTGTTGCTTGAATAATGTCTACTGTGTCTCTGTAATTGGATTGATGCGCTGAGTGTTGCATTGTGAAGTTTGTGTTGCTGAACAAGTATAAATTTCTTAATTCCCTTTGCACAATTTCTAGAAATTTTTTGATTAGAATTAAATTTTAGAACTAAATTATATTGAATAATTGTTGAGAAAAATGTGAAATAAAATTTAAATTGAATTTTAATATATTTTAATAGTTAGATAGAGTTTAAAAATATAGGCATTTTTAAAGCTAAAGTTTTGAGCAATTTGTCATGTTGCTTTTGCTAAGGGTCGATTATTTATATTTAAATAACAAAATTAATATTCTCTATTAATAATATATAATTTAAAAAATAAAAATAAATTTTTTAATATTTTAAATATTATATTTTAATAAAAAAATTATATTTACTATTAAAGTACAATGAGATTCTGATAGTCCCATGAATGAAGTACTATATAAATTAATTTTATGAAAATATTAAAAAATATTAAATATTAATGAAAAAAATATTAGAGAGAGAAAAAAATTAAAGTGATTTTGAATAAATTTATAAGAAAATTATAATTTAGTTAAATTAATTATATTTATTAAATATATTTAAAATTATTAAAGTTATCAAAAATAAAAATAAGAAAAATTAAATAAATGGACTGAAAGGAAAAAATATTAATGAAGGGAGATTAAATTTAAACACTCCCCCAAGTCTCTTATTATATGTCTACTATTTTATTTTTATCCAGTCTTATGTAAAAATGGTGTGTTTTTCATTAATAATTTTATAGTTCTAACCATAAAAATAAATATACATTGAGGTGTGTTTGTTTGGGGGTTTGGATTTTGAGTTGGGATTTGAATAGTAAAAATTTTGAATTTGAATAGTTGTATGATGTGATATAAATAGGATTTGATGTGATGTTTTGAATGTAAAATTAATTTTTAGTATAATATAAAAAATAAAAAATATGTGTTCGATTTGATATTTTTTGGGAGAAAAAATGGAATGAATAGTAAAAATCTACCAAAATCTTTCAAACAAACACACCCTGATTATTGGTTGAAGTACATACAACTGTATTGATAATATAAAATTAATAAATATATATTTTAAATTTTATAGTTAATAATTTTTTAAAATTTAATTAAAATAATAAGTTAATTTGATTTTAATATATAAATATTTATAATATATTATATTTATTTTTATTGAAATATTTTTAATTATTTATTAATTATATTTCATATAAATTCTTGTGTTTATTATAAATCGGAGATAAAAAGTGAGATAAGATGAATAATTTTTAAGCAAAATAGTGTGAAATTGTGAAGGATCTTCTTTTCCTAAAAATTTGATTTGTATACTAGTTTTAGATATGTTTAATTATGTCCTTATCTATAATGCAAATTACGTACATCCTAGCTATAAGGGATGATTGGGTGGTACAGGGGTTTACTTAGTACATTTTCGAACACCGCTGAGAATTTTTACGTCATTCAAAAAAAAAATAAAAAATATATATATATCCTCCACTTAATACTATCACTTTTTATTTTATTTTATTTTTTTTTATTTATCAAATTCAAATCTCAATCATGATTTTATAATAATATTCTCAATTGAAGAATACTTATTAATAGTCGATAAATACTAACAGATACTATATTTTTTCGTAATATTATCTAAATACAAATAGATATAACAAAGTTTTAAAACATGATTTTTTAAACAAAATTTGCAAACTACAAATAGATTTTTTTTGATATTTTACCTACATTTTGTCCATCTATTCTCACTTGTTTTCATTTAAAAGGCCTTGTAATTTTCAAAAACAATATACTCCATAAAATAATACTACCTCCGTTCCGCATAGTGCGTGTCTGCTATACTGTAAATACGGTATTTTAGGAGAAGTGTAATTAGTAGATAATTAATAATGTATTAGTGAAAATAATTATTTTATAATATAAATAATTATAAGTTAAAATTAAGATAATTAATTAGTTTAATTAAAATTAAAATAAAATAAAAAGTTTAAAATGAGATTAAAGTGTGTAATTATTTTTTTAAAAAAAAGTAACATGGTACGTAGGACGGAAGGAATACTTTTTATGTCTTATAAAATATATTTATTTTACTGTAGATATGAACATTTAGAAAGAATATAAGTAACTAAAATAATTATGTTATGATAAAAATTATTATAAGTTAAAATTAAATATATTAAAGTATATTGTCGAGTGTAGAATGACTGTTTTATCTAAAATTTGAAACGGTTCAAAAATACATTATTGATATATTTATACAGGAGTCCATAACCCATATAGTTATTTTTCTAAGAAAAAAACAAATTATATAAATGAACAAAAATAATAAAAATAAATATTTTATATGACACAGAAAGAATAATTTATAAAAAGTACTCCCCCGTTTTAGAAAAAATATTTTGTTAAAAGTGGGCACAAAAATTAAAAATTAATATTTTTATTTATAATTTTAAAAATAAATTAAGGTAATAATTAAAAATAATTTTAAAAAATATAAATAATTTTGTTATAAATAAAGATACTAAATAAAAAAAAAACAACCATTGGACAAAGGGAATATTGATGTAACTATGTATCGATTTATTCCATACAGCACAATTCTAAAATTGTTTAAAACTATAAAAAGAAGAATTGAATAAATAAAATTTATTATAGAGGTTGCTAGAATGATCTCGCGTCGTCTAGGTAAGCGTGAACCGAAGCCGCCATAAGCTTTCTTCAGAATGCGCCGGAAATCGCCAGAACACTTCAATAGCCACTATAAGTCGCCTAGCAGGCCTCGGCGAAGAACACCACCAAATCCCCAAAGCAGTAGAAGCAATCTTCAGTGTCCAGAGAATCGTCTAATTCTTCACTCGAACAGGTGAGAATGTCTCTGATTCCAAGCTTTTTCGGTAACCGCCGCAGCAACGTCTTCGATCCGTTCTCCTTGGATGTTTGGGATCCGTTCGAGGGATGGCCTTTAAACTCGGTCGCTAACGTTCCGTCCTCGGCTCGGGAGACCACCGCCATCGCCAACGCTCGCATCGACTGGAAGGAGACGCCGGAGTCGCATGTCTTCAAGGTAGATGTTCCTGGACTGAAGAAGGAGGAGGTCAAGGTTGAGGTGGAGGACGGCTCGATCCTGCAGATTAGCGGCGAGAGAAGCAAGGAGCAGGAGGAGAAGAACGATAAGTGGCACCGCGTGGAGAGGAGCAGCGGCAAGTTCCTCCGCCGCTTCAGGCTCCCGGAAAATGCGAAGCTGGATAATGTGAAGGCGGCGATGGAGAACGGTGTTCTGACGGTTACTGTGCCTAAAGGAGAGGCGAAGAAGCCGGACGTCAAAGCCATTGACATCTCCGGTTAAATCTGTCACATCTATACATATATATACATACAATTTCCTGCTTGTCATTTCCATTTCCGTTGCTCGTTTCCTTGTCTCGCGTCGGTGTGTTTGGCTTGAATAATGTCTATTGCCTCTCTGTAATGGATCTGTGTTTGGATCGATGTGTTGAGTGTTGTATGTGATATTGGTGTTGCTTTTGAACCGGTATAATTTCTTCAATTCCTTCCTTGCACAATTTCTATCTCATCATTTCTTCAGAAGTATTGCAAGTAGAGATATCATATAATTGAAGCCTGTAATTGATAATGTGGATTTTGCATTCCAACTACTGGATTGGAGGTTTGTTCTGTTTCTGAACCTTCATCTATTCCCCAATTCCTGAGGTTTGTGTTGCAATTGAACATTTATCGCCATTGATTTGTATATGACAAGCACAGTGTTATCTACTGAAGTCTAATTTGGCATTAACAGGTGCGCCGCCGAGTGGCCGGCCGTCGACTCCACCTCCGGCTAGGTATGGTTAATTTTGTGCACTGGAACTGACATTTCCTTCTAGATTGTTCCATAGCGTCCGTATAGAGCAAAACTACTTGCATTACAGTGAACTATAATATCTACAGAACTGAAACATGACTTTTCTGCTGCACAATTTACATCTCATGCTTTATATTTACCCCAAATTGTCTTCCTCGACAGCAACAATTTTCACCCCTTTTCCGCCATTATTGACCTTGCTCCTGAATCCTAATCCCCTGTTTTTCTTCATTTTCTCTTCCCCAAACACACCACATGATTTTTCATTTTCATTCTGATGGTTTTCTTGATCTTCTCTTTTCAGGTCTGCTGGAGGCAGGAAGAAGTCCATGGACAATCCCCTGACATTAAAGTCCACTTCCTCTACACTCCACACTTCCTCCATCCTCGTCCTGGTATGGCTTTCCGACCCCTCCCCGTACCGGAACAGCGATACCTGAGTCCTGCCGGAATGTGCTATATTGACGCCATTGATTGTCCGGTAATCTCTAATCACTGACTCCATTGTTGTCTCCCACATAACAACATTTTCCCGTGTCTTAATTCGCAGCAAATGAGTGTCCTCTAGCTGGACCAACAGCCCCGTTCTCTGGCTGAAGCTCCCCCATATAGTGTGCTTCATTATCTCCACATTGTTGCTGCTTCTCGCCTTCAGCGCCAACACCTCGACTTCGCGCCTCAGCACGAAGCAATCCTCGCCGTTGATTGCCTTCTCCCCGATGCAGATAGCGTTGGAGAACAGATTCGCCGTCAGCCGCGGATCAAGCCCCTGTTGTACGACGCCGTTAATTGTTTTTTTCTGAACATTACATCGATCATTGTTCATTATCAATGTAGTTTGTTTTAATTTACCTGCAGGGATCGCCGGAGGGGACGAGGGGGGCCGCGGGAGGCGTGGGAGTTTTGCCAGGGGGTCTGCCGCCACGCAACCTTTCCGTTGCTTCCGGCGCTTATTTTGCAGCCGGAGAGGATCATTTCTAGGCTCCATAAATCAGGCCTTTGCTGCCACAGAACGAATCCGCCGACGTGTCCGGCGCCGGACTTCATATTCTTTGTCTTCGCCGCCCTCGAATTCTTGACACCATTGTCGGCTCCTCCCACGAATTCAGATGCCGCCATTCTCACCTTCCCCATTACATACATACTGTCGATGGAATCGAGGGCGTGTTCTCCGCCGGCTGCTGCGATGTACTGCTGCACTATGTATTTAGCCATGGCGCTCTCCTGCAAGTGCACCGGAAATTGTAAGAAGTTCAATCTCTTTACACACATTTTTAACAAACGAAATATTTTTGTAGTTAGAATGTGTCACTTAGCAACAATTTATCGTCACTTTGATAAAATTAGTTTTTATAGCTAAAATTATTTAGCTAAGAAAAATCATATATATTTTATTGGTAAAATTCTTTTATTATAATTTTTATTTTATAGCAAAAGATTTTTAGTTAAGAAATCATATTTTCCTAGCTATATTTCTTTTTTTAATTTTTATTGGTAAATATTTACTTTTTATTACAGGAAGTTATATTTGGTCGCTACAATACATGGATCCGTTGTAAAAATATTTTTGTTATGAATTATTATCTTTTGGTACAAAATTTTTTTTAGCTAAATTTTAACCTCTTTTTGTAGTGTTCACGATCATTCTTCAAATGTTGTATGAATTCGAATTCACTTACAATGGGAAAGCCTTTGATGCTTTCATTCAAGGTACGATCGGCTTTAATTGGTGACGGAATCAGCGGAGCCCCGACGACTCCCAGCAGGAGCTGGACCTCTGCCATAGCAGCGGCGGCGCCGCTTCTCTCCACCACCTGTGGCGACGCCGCCATCCAGGCCTTCAGATTCTGCCACGATTTATTACTTCCCTTGTCCGAGACAAACATTTCCTCCGGGATCGGAACCTCCAGCACCGTCTCCAGCGCGTCTTCCCTGTCCACATTCCGACACAATGTCCTCATCGGAAAACCAGGTTTGATTTCTTCTTTTCTTTTTCGCTAAAAGTTTTGATGTAGGAATTAACAAGTGGAGAGAATCCAGATGCAATCTTGGCCCTGGATTTATACATACATTCGATCGAGGAGATTAATGTAACAGTGATGAAAAAGACGACGACCATGGGCCGCCACCAACGTGGGAGACTTTGTCTGTGTCGTCGTGAAGGCACGCTGCTCTGTCAATGGCGGATACCGACAATCATGGTAATAATAATTAATAAATTGATTATAATTAATTATAATATTTCATAACATAAAAATAATAATTATAATAATAATTGTGGAGGCGTTTGTCTTCGAGGGGACAAAGGGATCGAATTTTATGCCCAATGTTTTTCCGGTACATCACTTCTATCAAGCAAAGCTGCGGCGGCGACCGACATCTTAACCTGGTCTGTTCAGATGCTGCCACGTGTCCCAGATTGACGGCTGAACTAACGCCCCTCAATCATGCCATGCACGTTCGCCTTGCTTGCTGGTAATGGTTTTAGTACTCCTTTATGTGTTTTTGTTTGTTATGATCGTATTTGTTTAAGAGAGATGAAATTGGGGGAGGAATAATTTCATTCTAATCTGATAAGGATAAGATTCGTTGGGGTTTGTGTGTATGCGTGCGGATAGTTTAAGGATTTTCTGGCAAATGGGATTGTGTTTAATCACGTAATTAATTTGAACTAAGTTTTAGGTTTAGGTTGAGATGCAGTTGGATTAAATAATTTACTCTCTCTGTATGAATTTTTCGTTCTTTATTTACATTGGTGAAATCCAATGTTTTTAGAAACTAAAAATAAAAATCGAACATTTAGACATTGGATTACTAAGATGAGTCTGTTTTTCATAAACAAGTATTTTATATATTTAAATTTTTCTATTTTTTAGAAAAAATTAATTTATTTTAATTGTAAATAAATAAATATTTTTCTATCTTTTTGTATTACATCATATTTAAAATATTTAAATATGTATTATAAATTTATTTTAATTATATATTAATTTTTATTTTATAATTATCAACTATACTATTTATATTAAAATATAATAAAATAAAATAATATTATACTTTATTATTAATAATTAATTAAATTTTATTATTTGAGAAGGCCCATCCTATGCCTAGAAAGAAAGATTAATTAGTAGTTACTAGCATAATCCTTGTAGAGAATATGAAATGCAAGTGGCGCGGACTTTCTTTTACTTCAATAGATTCTACACTTGGGCTTTATGGTTCTTGGATTGGGCCTTTAATGGGCCTTATTTGAAACATTCTCCAATAGTTTTGATAAATCTGAATTTTGTTTCTTGATTGAAATGTTAAGAATATTATCATTAAATTTAGATAAAAAAACAAAAAAAACACACACATGGACTATACCACACGGCCCAAACCGCATTTACGTACATAGCATGTATGTGTGTATATATATATATATCAATATATAAAGCGGTTTTCAGCACCAAAAACCTTCTGTAAACCTTCTGTTTTGTTGAGTTTTCTAATGTTTTGCGCATCATCGCTTCGCCATGCCTGGAGATGTGGGGGACGTACTCGCCAAGGAAGCCGGACGGAAGAAGGCATCAGACGCGCAGGAAGTAGCCTGGAACTTTGTTGTTTCTATTGGAGGAATGGAGGAGGAATCCACCAAGGATGGAATAACAAAGGATGTATCAAACGAGAACGGAGAATCGAAGGATGTAACTGCGTTGGTCGGAGGAACGAAGGATGTATCCAAAGAGAACGGAGAATCGAAGGATGTAACTGCCTTGGTCGGAGGAACGAAGGCTGTATCCTCCGAGAACGGAGTATTGAAGGACGTAGCTTCCCCTGCCTGGCTGCCTTGGTCGGAGGAACGAAGAGCGGAGGATTGAAGAATGTATCAACTGCGGACGGAAAAGAGGAGGACGAATCAACCCTGCACGGCTTTGAGCGAGAGGAAAATGTATAAAATCAAGCTCGGGGGAACAGTTAGACCTCACCAGCGCCACTTCTTCCTTTGCCACAGGACTTATGAAACCTGGCCAGTATGGTTCAATCAGAAGTCGGCCGATCTGCTCCCTCAGCTGTTTACCAATGAGCACCAAATGGCCCTGAGAAAGGCTCCTATAGAGGTATCAATGCGGTTATGATATATAACTTAGATGCTCTTATATATATATATATATATTATGATTAGTTTCTAGCAATGAATAATGACTTAGGCAGCACTTGATGATTTTTATTTTCTAATTCTGAATATAGTATCATCGTATGGTTGCAGAACCGCCTGGCTATATGCCAGAGAAATAAACATGCGAGGATCTACGATGGAGATGTCCTCATATTTCCTGACATGCACGTATACAGGTCTGACCTTAAAATTGTCTGCTATCGGCACTAGCTGTTCCATATGAACTTGTTTATGATAATACCCGCTTAATGATCTGCCTTTTGAGAACTTAAAATGTTAACAGAGCAAGTTCAGTTATGAACTTGTTTATTATGATCTACTTCAGGCTGTCTTTTGAGAGCTTACAATGTTAACAGAGCAAATTCAGTCGTAGGATTACTGCTTTTTTCATATATTTGTATTTAATTCAGTTCCTTCATACCATCCTTAAGCACTAAATTGTAAGAGTGGCTGCTCTACAGTTTGCACTTGGTTCAAGTTTTTATTTTTTTCCCAATGGTTGTTTATTTACTTATAAGGCCAGATCGTGTACATGTTATTTTAGAATTAATATTGAAGGGTGCCTAATTGTCTTCTCTTGATTACTTACTGATGATATATATGTGATTTCTCCTTTCTCATATGTAGGCGGCTGAAACCCTCACAAATCAGAGGATTTGTAGATGAAGTGATGATTAGGGGCAAGAGATGGTCATCGGGGGAGTTGGAAGAGTTGACTGGTTCATACATCTTTATATGTACTCGTAAACTTCGAGATAGAAGATTTGGTGCTTGCGGCCCAGCATTGATAAAAAAGCTCAACGAAGTGATTAAAGCCAAGGATTTGAAGCGTAGGGTGTTTGTGATTGGGTGTTCACACACAGGAGGAAACAAGAATGCAGGCAATGTGATTATTTTCAGTCCTAATTCTCAGGGAAAAGATTGCTGGCAATTGGTGAGACCAAGATTTTTATTTTTAAGGATTCATGTTAGGTGTTATTCTGCAAGGAGATCATAGATGATTAATTCTTTCTCTAATTACTACGCAAGTATGGATACGTCAACACATAAGGATGTTGTTGAATTAGTCGAGGAACATATCTTAAAGGGTGAAATCGTCGATAGGCTTTGGAGGTTTAGCAATAATTCTCTCTTGACTATATACTTCTTCTTATCTTAGATTGATAACTCAGATTCAGATTCAGATTAATGCATAAATTATTAAATCAGGGGCCAAGTGGACACTAGTCCCGGAAAATCTGATGACTCAGGTAAGGCCTTGTTTGATAGCCACAACCTATGAAAAAGAGATGCCTCCGGAATTGCGGTTATTATGTCGGGCATTGCTTCAGCTGCAGCTGCTACTATTGCTACTTTTGGCATCTACCGAAGAAGAAGAAGAAGAAGAAGGTAAATTCAGCTTTCCTTAATCTCTTTGCCATGCTTACATTTTACAATAAAGAAAAAGCTGTAGTAGTAATAATATAAGTAAGTAGTCTTAACTGTTGGGGATTGGTCTTGAAGTTTTTGCTGTTATTTAGCCTCTTGACATTGATAATGCATAAGAAGGGTGGGTAAGGTAATTGCAGTTTATGCAAGGTATATTTTGAGAATATAAGTAACTTCAGTTTGGGAATAAAACTTAAACCCTATGTAAATACTAATATTAAAATAGTATTTTTGTGAAAAATATTGGTCTATTTAGTGAAGTTCATGATTTAATGGCAACCTCCCTGTTGTTTGAATTATTTAGGTTTATGTTTTGAACCACAGACAATTAACAAATATTGAGTAAGTTGAGAGTTGTAGTTGGAAATTCTTTTGAATAATGGAATGTTGTTGATTAAAAATATAGATATTTCTTTATTTTAATCTTTTAAAAATTGTTCTTCAAATATTGAGGTAAGTGGAGCTAATATTTAGGTAATGGATTATTTAAGTTTTTATTTTTTGAAACACACTTAATTAACAAATATTGGGTAAGTTGAGTGTAAACAAAATATTATTCAAATTAATTTCTGTGTTTCAATTGTGTTAAATGGGAGAAATCAGTTTGTAATGGTTGTATTTATTAACAATTTTTTTTTTCTTAATATTACCTTCCATATATATTTTTAATATAAAGCACCTGTGAGTAATTTTTAATTATTCTACTATTTTTTTCGAAATTTCTAAAGTGTGTTTCATTTGGCTCTTGAATTTTTTAATTTATAGCCTGAACACGGTGAATGGGGAGGTCGGGGTAAAATTTTATATATAAAAAAGAAAAAGTTAGTGTAAAATTTTTAAAATTTTTTATAATAAAAAGAAATGTAGTTTTTCATTTATAATTAATAAGTATAAGTTAATATTCAAATTATTTATTATAAATTTATTTAATACATATTTAATTATTATATTTATTCTATATTAAATCAAATACAAATCAAAATTCTAAAAACCCAAATATTAAAACCTACTCACCCACAAGAACAAATCTTTCTTAAACTATCTCAAAATTCAAATCTAAATCTTTTCAAACTTTTGCCAAAGAAACTACCCGTGAATTTTCAAAACTTTATATTTTGATAGTAGCCTAAACGTTTGTGAATAAATTTGTATTTCAAACTTTGAAATTGGGATTTCTTGGAATCTGGATTTGGGCCTTAATTAATTGGGTTCAGTAGTTTTAACTGGGTCGGTCTCCATAATTGTAAATGTTCTTAATTCGGCCTTTAAGAAAAATGATCGAATCCAGTCTCTGGTTTTGAATTTTGGTCGTTCCGCGAAAAAATGCATGTGAAAATGGAGATCGTATTTGATCGATCTCCGAGACTCGTGCCGGAAAGTGGAATCGGAGTAGATAGTGTGATTGTTTACTGAGTACGATTGGACGACGGCAACGACAATGTGAATGGTTTGAATTTGCTGTACCAATGTTTTGTGGAGGAGGAGGATGAGTTCAATATCGTTGATTGTTAGTGCAGAGAGCAATCGAAGGGTGCGGAATGGCGCTGGAGAAGCTACTGACGCAGAGCTTGAAATTAATCCGAAATCAGGGAAGTTCTAGATGGTTCGACGATGGAACTCCTGGAATAAAATCTGTCATAACCACGTAAATTGTGCCCATTCCGAAACTAGGGTTAGGGTTTTGTCAAAAGAAAACAGGGTTGAAGACATAGTATCCCAACTGGACTAAGGAACTTACTGGAATTGCCTCTGCAAAGAGCTTTAGGAATTTCTCCCTCTGATGTTCATACGCTATAATATGTTTATTCTAATAGATTTCCACGAAATTTGAGATGTTCGTAGTGACAATTATGGTAGGAATACATTTGATTTCAATTGAGTTCTGTAGTCAAATTTATCTGTTCTTGATGAGGATTTGAGTATGTTTGTAAGTTTTGTGTGAGACCAAAGTGAGTTGTTCTTACGATGAGTTAGCATTGACTGTTGAAATTTTGGTAATTGATTAGATACAATCAATTATTCTGTTCAGTTAGTGTTCTGATGAATCAATTAGTTTGGATGTTGCTATGATCTTTTATTCCAAAACTTTGATGTTCAGTTTGTTTCTTGATGATGTTGTGATAAAATCAAATAGGCTGGCTGCTATAGTGTACGATTCCGAATTCTGCTGTTTACTTTGTGTCTTGATGGTGTTTTGATGAAATCTGGTTGCTTTAATGTTCGATTCCAAATTATGGTGTTCAGCTTGTGTCTGATGATGTGGTGATAAATCAAATAGGTTGGTTGCTATAATGCTCGATTCCAAATTCTGTTGTTCAGTTTGTTTCTTAGTGATGTTATGATGAAACCAAATAGACTGGAAGCTATAATGTTCGATTCCAAATTCTACTGTTTACATGGTGATGTTCTGATGAAACCATTAGGCTGGTAGCTATAATGTTCGATTCTAAATTCTGCTTTTCAGTTTGTGTCCTGATGATGTTGTGATTAAATCAAATAGCCTGGTTGCTAAAATGTGCGAATCTAAATTCTGTTGTTTACTTTGTGTCCTGATGATGTTCTGAAGACACCAAATGATTCTTATCCAAATTATGCAGATAAGCTCATGGGACTCCTGACGACAATCTCTAAAATTGTGGTGCGAATAGGTCAGATGCTTTACATGTCCATTTCCAGATTCTTTGGTGACTAAACTATTATGATCATCCATGACTTGATCACTTACAATCACTAACTTGTGAACCCTTCTGCAGATCATTCCCTCAACCCCTCACCAATGCCAAAACAAGAATTCGCCATTCTTGCAAAAGCATATCAGCCAGTGACGACAACGCAGACATTGCACGTGGGAATAAAACCATCCCGGGGAGGCGACAACGACCAAAAGGGGCTGCTGTCCTTCAAAGGCAATATCAGCTAAAGCCGCAAAATATGCTCTGTCTGCACGCACATGTAGTCAATCATTTCTTGCCCGGTCCCGGACAAAAACAACCACATACATGAAATGATGCTGACAAAAGATGTCTGACTCAATCGGTCAGTATTTCTTACTAGATTACCTTCTTTTTTAACTGAAATTTATTTATCTTCTTTGGTCCATCTTTCTTTGCCTCATTTTCTTAGCTTCTGAGAAATAACGTACATTTGTCAAAAGATTTGAAAATTTGGGAGATGCCTGCTTTAGTTGACACATGGAATAATTTGAATCAGTTGGTTTTGGAAATTCATAGGCAGCCATGGATGCTCTTCTTAGGTGTAGTTAAAGGTACCTACCTATAACCACCCCTTGATTTTTTTTCCAAAAATTCTAACCACCCATTATGATAATTATTTGTGTTGACAATTTTGGTCCATTGGACTTGGAAGGAGGAACCTAACATGAACATTCATTGAACCATGAATATTCAAGAATCTGCAGTAATATAAATATTTTGCGTATGGGTTAGGAATAATAAAAAGTTCAAAAAAAGACTTTCTCCTGTGTGCTCAAATGTTTGGACATAGATTTTTTTAATAAAAGTGGATAATAATGGTTACTTTTTGTCTTTTATAAGAAAATGTACAAAAATGGTAGTGTATTGTTTTGCTAAAATAAAAAGGAACGGGAATATTTGTTATGATAATTAAAAAAAAAAGTGAACATAAATTTGAATGACGAAATAAATATATATTTGTTTGATGTGATTTTTAAATATTTGACAAGATTCTCTTTACATACTCACTTCCTCTTGCAAATTGCAGTTAGATCAATTTTTGGTGGATATTGGTTTTTTTAGAAAATATCAATATATTTGTTTGGTTGTGATTTGAAATTTAATTGAAATGCTATATTGATTTGATTTTTTATTTCAATACTAGTTTTGATGTAATTTTTAGAAGAAATAGTATACTTGATGAATAGTGTGATTACAAATTTGATAAACAGTATGAAAATGAAGTTTGAAAACGTACCTAATTTAGGGGATATGGTCTGTCTCTGTTTCTTTTGAGCTATTTTAAATAAATAAATAAATATACATATAATATGGTTATCATATTTTCACAAAAAATTCTCATGTTCTATCATTGAATTTGTATCAACTGAGAATGATGGCAGCAGCAACTTTTGTTTAGGGGCGAAGGAAAAAGAAAAAGTGATACTGTGAAGCACACTAAGCAGAAGCAGCAAAGCTGCAGGCCAGATAAGTATTTTTTTTTATGATTTATTTATTTTTTATGGAATTTGTAACAAGAAAACTAGGTCCCACAAAGCACTATGTAAGAAGGAAAAGGGATAGTGAGATAGTTAGTGGATGGATCATCAAAATCAAATTCAAGATCCATGCAATCTTGTGAATTTATCCATGCAATGTTTTGACGAGAGAGCGACACATGAGCATGTTAAGAGGGATTTATTTATTTATTTTTAAATAAAAATGTTTTGTGGGCAATTATGCTTAATCATTGTTTCTTAATGACCATATTTTAATTGCTCTTTGCTCATTTTTTAGGTAGAGGGTTTATGTTTTTGACTATTTGCCCACAAATAAAGAATGTGCATTTCATCATGAGAATTCAAACACACTTTGAGGTGTGTTTTGAAATTTGGTTTTGTATTGAAATCGAAACTCTAAACAAATAAAGGACGTCTTTCGTTTTTTTTTGTTTTTTGTTTTTTTTTTATATATAAGGTATGTAGAATCGAATCGGTAATATAGGTAATATAAATATTTTAGGTAGAATATTGCTTTCTTTCATAAGAAAATAGAATTTATGGGTTTCTTCCTATTATTAGTTTTGATGGGAGATCTTTGGACATTTTTGTTTCTCTTTTTGGATTAGTTCTTGCATTATTTATTATATATTACTAAAGTTTATATTTAATTTAAAATATTATATTCGATAAACACTTGGGGTACACAAAACAATTAGTCTGTTTAGGTTATATACCCTCTTCATTTATTTTCTTCTTCATATGTTATTGTTGCTTCAAGAAAAATCAAAGTAGCCAACATCGAAATAAATGGTAGAAGTAAAGTTGCGTCGAGTTTACAAAAGTTTGAAAGTTGATTTCGTCACTGATTATATAGCACAACATATGTTAATGCTAACATATGTTGTAATATAAATATGTTGTGATATGCATAATATACGACAATCCAATACTGATTTGATATGAGATCTGTGCCATATATAGTGTTAATAGTGGGTGAGTGTTATTGTGAGTGGAGAAAAATTTATAAATCCTATAATAAAGAAATTAAAGAAAGGAAAAATAATAATTAAAGCCATTATTTTCTATTTATAGTAAAGATAGTTGCTAATTATAGTTAATGAGAATTGTTAGTTTACTAATTATAGTAAATATATGCTCTAATTATAGTGATGTTTAGTGTTCATGGTGGTGATTCACCACCTTATCTTCGCTTACACACACATCCATCACACACACACACTATATATATATATATATATAGATACGTCAAGTGCTTGCATTTTTTCATCGCCTTTTACTAGTCAAACACTATCATTACTTAATTAGTGGCATTTCTAATTCTTTTATTATTATTATTATTATTATTATTATTTCTCACCAATACAAATATATATTTATTTATTCATTCATTCATCGCCATTTTCAAATTAAAACCACCCGTTCAATTCTTTCCTTAGAAATACAATATATATACATAAATATATATATTAAATACATTTATTTATTATATCGTTTCCGGCCCAAATACAGATATTGGGCCAAGCCCACTTCAAAAAAACAAAATTCATATTATAATGATTTATTATTTATTTATTTGTTTGTTTTTTAATTAAATGGGAAAAAAGGGGTTTCTAATAAAAAGTGATAAATGAAAATCAAGTGTATATTTCCCATAGCACTTATCTTAAAAAAAACAAACGCTAATAATAAGTTAGCACATTAGACACTCAACCCCAAATCCCTTTGCTTTGCTTTTTTGTATTGTGATTTGTGATAGCATAAAGTCACAAATTCACTTTTTTGTCTAAAGTGGAGCTACATAGGAGCTACCCAAATTAAATTAAATTAGCCTGAATTAAAAAATTTCCCCCTTCTATTAATTTAATCCCAATATAATTATTTCAATTAAATTTAAAATTACTCTTAAGTGGAGCGACGACATCCAATTACGATGCGACAAATGGGCTGTCGTATCAAAATAATTTCAAGAATTCATCATAATTTACCACTGTGACAATTATAACGCAAATCCAAATGTCACATTTAGGTACATTTAACGATAAACATGCTTAATTATTTTAAATTAAATTAATTTTTTTTAGGTTTTGATTAAATTAATTTTGATAAGTTGTGGTGATGATAGTTGGCTAATATAATTAACTTTATTTGCACATGAAAGATGATGATGCATGCATCCATGAGACACAACATGTTTGTACACGATTATTCCTTTACGTATTCAAATTGTTATAATAGTGTTTGCCATCTTGTCTCAATTTTAATTATTTTATTTTATTCAAAATACAAAAATAAAACGAAATTTAATTTGATTTGATTTGATTATTTATTTATTTCCATATATATATATATATAGGGCACAAGAAAGAATTGAATTAGAAAGAGAGCAAAGGTGGGATGTGCATGCATACACAAATATGTATGTATCCTTCGATGGTGGAACTAAAGTGAAAAGGGTTAAAAATTGATCATGGGTTTCAACTTATTTTACTTTTTATTTTTAAAGACTTTGTTGTAGAATTTTTAAAAAATTATATCGTTAGCATTTTTTTCAATAAAATGTTATATTAAATATGTTTTTTCTATTATAAAATATCATATCAAATATGTGCATTTTACTAGTTTGTATATCAAAAGTAGGCTGATATTATACTTCCTCCGTCGTTCAAATCTATGCTTATTTTCTTTTTTGGGTTGTCATCGAAAAATATTCTCATTTTTTTTTAGGTAAAAAATTATTCCATTTTTGTACTATTCTTTACTATAAAAAGAAAAATTAACAATTATTACCCACTTTTATTAAAATTCGTGTCCGATTAAATAAGCACATATTTGCACTACGGAAGAAGTATTTAGTAAAAAAATACAATTTTTATTTAAATCATTATCCACTATCTTTTTCTTCTATTTCTATTATTGTTACAAGTGGATTCCATATAAATTTTACATATATATTATTAATTAATTCAAAATTACATTAGTAATCATGTAAAAATTTTAATTTTATCTTTAAAAAAAGTATAAAAATAATATTAAAATGATTTTTACGTTTCAATAAAATTAGCATACTTGATCTAAATACGGAGATTTAAAAACATAAGTATTATATTAAAAAGTGATAAAAGTACCAAAAAAATATATATATAAAAAATAGTTTTTTGATAATTTTTTGAAAATTAAATAGAAATTAAAGAAAATAAAAAAAATATAGAGAAAATTGTAAAAAATATCTCACACTTATACTTTATTATCACTTTTGTCATGTATTTATGTTGCTGGCAAAATATATCTCACATGTTTACAAAAGTCACTCCCGCGCATAATATTCATACCACGCACGGCCAAATAATAAAAATAACGACTTTTGCAAATATGTGTGATATATTTTACCAGCGAGATAAATATAGGACAAAATTAATAATGAATCCTATCTAATTTGATCTAAAAAATATCCAACCTGAAAACTGTATCTAGCCCAGAGAAACCCTCTATCTCCAAGCTCCTTGTATAATTGGGCAAGCTTTGATGCCTCTCCTCCCAAGAAGTTGCGGGTCATGAACGTGTGGAATATTTTTTAAAAAAATATTGTAATATGCGTGTGCGGCAAGTGGATGTATTCATTGCTATACATTGTGGGTATATGCGTGTGTGATGTTGCGAATGTGGGGGGTTTCATTTTATCTTTAATTTATTAATTAATTAATATATATATATATATATATATTATTGAATAATAATTTCTCGTGACTAATAACATGTGCTTTTTGCTATTCAGAGGCTGACGTAAGCATGAACATACAATAATAAAGTATAATTAGTAAGTAATTAAAAAATTATATTAATAAAAATAATTATGGATTAAATTAAGATAAATAAATAGTTTAATTAAAATTAAGAAAATTATAAAATTTAAAATTTAAAATGCGATTAAAGTGCATAATTATATTTCCAAAAATAGAAATGACAAATTATGTAGAACAGACGAAAATAGAAAATAGAGACAAATTACGTAGGACGGAGGGAGTATAAAATAAAAATAAAGTTTTTTTAGGTTATGTTTTGATATTTTGGTATATTTTAAGAATAATATATATATATATATATTGATTGAAACAATTATTTGACATATAAGTGTAAATTAAAACATAATTTATGATTTAATATATAAAAAAATAGATATTATGATGTTTTAAATAAATAATAATAATTAAATATATATATATGTCATTATACATTAGTATAAAAATAAAAGAATATTTGATTTATAAAATTTTGACAATATAAACCTATGGGTTGAAACCTCAATCATGTGAGTAATTTTAGAGTGTGTTTGTTTGATGGATTTTTGTAGGATTTTCATTATTCTCGATTTTTTTTTTCAAAAATATAAAATTAAATATTTATTTTTATTTTTTATATTATAATAAAAATTAATTTACATTCAAGATATTACATTATACAATTATTTAAATTTAAAATTTTTACTATTCAAATTCTAATCCAAAATCCAAACTTTCGAACAAACAAATAAACATTAATAGTCCACGTGTCATTCACTGTCTCCCCTTAGAGCTTCCCTCTGCCTCCACTGCCTTAAATCATAGGTTTTGTCCATATTTAAAATTTTGTTATTAATTATAAAAATATGATTAAGATGTGTATTTTATTAAAAATATATATTATTATTATTATTGAAAATTATGGTTACATATTAATTAAAAGCAAACGCACCCACAATATTATTATATATCTTTATTATTTAAATTTATGTCTATCTGATTAGATACGAAATTTTTTTTAAAAAATAGATAAAAATAAAAAGTACGTGTTTATTTTTATAGTTAAAAAATAGTATTTTAATTAATAAAATAGAAAATTTGAGGCTTTCAATTGGCATAGTATTAATTAAAGTTTTTTATTATTTCACATATTAGTTTTAAAAATATATGGGTAAATTGTTTTTTTTTCAGTAACTTAACTCATAATTATTTTCGTTCCGTAGGTGGAGTCAGTCGCAAACTAGTTAAGTGCAAATTTTTTGTTATTTTAGTCCTCCGGCGCCGGAGACGACTGCGTGGCTCACCGGAAGCCACGTGTCCGTTAGGTGTCCCGGCAGGTCAGCGACACCTGGCGGACACGTGGATTTTATTTATTTTTATTTTTTTAAATTATTTTGATTGGACCAAATAAATAAAATTAAAAATAAATTTTAAAAAAATAAAATAAAAAATAAAATCCACGTGTTCGCCAGGTGTCGCTGACCTGGCGGAGACATGGCCTCAGGTGAGCCACGCGGACGTCTCCGGTGCTGGAGGACTAAAACCGCGAAAAATTTTCACTTATGAGATTAGTTTGCGACATGCTCCACTTACAGGATTAAAAAAACAGTTTACCCAAAATATATAGTATTAAATATTTTGTATATCAAAT